CATTTATTGCTGTGTCACTTGAAGTGAAACATTCTTTTTGTAGCTGTAGTCTGAAAATGAATTTTCAGCAAATGGCACCACGTTTTCTGTGCAACAGTCCAATCTCAGCAATGCACACAACCACCACCATAACCGTTGAAAAATAGCTTGACAAATCACACGTGTAGCCTCGGTGTTGGAAGAAAATGCTGTTCGCGTGCACGGCGCACAACGGGATGATGGTGTGGCCAGCACAACGCCTGGCCGCCTCTGACTCCCCAGCACTGATTCTTGTCAGGTATACATGTTGAGGATGATGTGACCAAAGGGGGGATGCCAGTTAACATTTCAGATATCACTCCGCCACCGATGTTGCTATGGCGGGTAAACGAACTTAGGCCACCAGGTTCATACCGCAGCACGGGAACCTGCACCAGTTCTCCCAACACACCGCATATACAAATTGAAACCGATTTATTACATGATTCAATGCGTGTACTGCGAGTAAGATTCAACTTGATAGACGTATTGATGAATCGTTAAATGTCTATTGCCCACAATCTCATCTAAGCGATGACCTAAAGACCTAATTGCATCGTGAAGCAATTAGATTTAACAAGACAATGTAAAAGGGTTTTAATTGGGTTCAACCAGTCAATGTCTGTTTGAAAAGCACGGGCCAAATAAACATGACCATCAGAACTAGCAGGCTTATTGCAAATTGTACTTTTGTAATTAGTAATATGTATTTCCTATTTTAAAGTTTTCTTTTTGTAATAACTGCCATTAGTAAACTACTCGTACTGAAAAACGTGGTTAACCCTGTACCTCAATTGAAATTATTTTTTTTGTTGGGGTCTCATTGTTCCTGTATATTGTCAGTGGCAACAAAGACAACTTTCAAACTATGATGGCATTTGTGTTTTATTAAATTAAAAGTTCACTAAGCAATTCTTCATTGAAACTCCCCCCCGAAAAAAAAGTGTGTGTTGGGCTTAGCCCATTTTATGTATACGAGGTTATTTGTAATTGATACAGCTATTTTGCTGTGACTGTTCCACCTGAAGACGGAAGCTTGTGTTGCCTCCGAAACGTGATTTAATTTAGTTTTCATTTATTTAACCTACGTGACTTTACCGAAAAAACCAAAGAGTATGAATCTTTGCAGTCACGAACGCTAAAAATCTAGAATTACACTGCAAATTAGATCTATGTGGAAGTATAGTTAAGTGGATGGGCCATCATTTCGGGTTCTGTTGGTCAATGAGCATTTCGGGTGCGGGTGAAATGCACTTGCTGGTGGGTGCTACACCATTTCATAGGTGTGTGTTAGGGCAGCGGTCCCCAACCTTTTTGGCACCAGGGACCGGTTTCGTGGAAGACAATTTTTTTCACGGACATGGGGGGGTGGGGGCGGTTCATCATTGGGTCTTTCCCCCTTTTCAAAGAAGCTCTCCAGCGACGTTTGTTTTTTTTACTCATTTTGGCTACTAGGGTTAGCTTGTGGGCTTACCAACACTGACTGAGACAAGTGCGCAATGCGGGAAAGAGGCGCGGACGGAAGTGGTAAATCAAATAATGGGCGGGCCACGTGCGGACTTGCCTGCAGTGCGGACCGGTTCCTAACAGGCCACGGACCGGAACCGGTCCACGGCCCGGGGGTTGGGGACCCCTGTGGTAGTGGATGAGACTAACGTTAGTCAATGGACCCTTTATTAAAGTCAAGTGGTGTGAGGACTGGAAGTCTACTGATATTACGTGTATTTTTCCAGTGTTAGTCTAAATCGGTAAACATCAATTGAAGGCTCTGTAAGGCCTGTTGCATAACCATGCGTGTTAATTGATATGAGTGACTGACTGAAAATCTAGTGTTTTAGAAGGAACAGAAGGATGAAATTTGGCACAAGCTATACGGAGGTTTTGGAAGGGTGCTGAATAGAATTAATGGTTGACTACAATGATACATTCTGAATTTTGAGCCCTTAAATCGCATTCCCAAGCCTCGAGTCCTCTCGACCCACCACACTACATCGTTCCACGTTTACAATTTTTGTTGGACCAAAAACGAAAGGGGTTAATGTTGATTTTTTTTCATGGGTGAAAATAAATTGTGAACTTTACCATTTCGATTTTTAGCTTTCGTGACTGCAAAGATTCATTTTCTTTGGTTCTTTCGGTAAAGTCACGTAGAATGAGAATAAAATAATGAATTGATAAAATAACAAAATTCTCACGACGTTTTGGCCACAACACAAGCGGCCTTCATCAGGTGATATGGGTTTGATTCCCGGCTATAGCTAACATCAGTTGTGAATACTTGAACCAAGGATGAGTCTCCCTCTAGCTCGACTCAACCTTAAACGAGTACCTGGTGCAGTGTCTAAAAATCAGCACAGAGGAGACAAAGGTGGCCTGCCTGGTCCTGGCCCCACGTAGCCCTTGAATGCTTTAGCGGCCTTAATAGATGCTCGCTAATAGCCCCAGTGGTCTATTAAAGGCTGCACAGAGCAAGTTTTGTCTTTGCATGCCAATGCAGCTTCCAAGTATTAGGGAGCCAAGCATAGGTGGAATTTTAACCTCTATATTTGGGGGGGGGGGGGGGGCTAGGGGTTCGCTTTGTCCCTCACAGAAATCGCGGGTTTCTTATAAATATATTATAATCTTAATTGTAAACTCCTGAAAATAAATGATAAAGGTGTCCAGATTGGGGGCATCGGCTACCCAGGCCCCCCCCCCCCCCCCTGCAAACTCCACCCATGGGGCCATGATACCCTTCATCATCACAAGTAGGTAATTGATATGCGGCTTGGGCCTCCTTTAAGTTGACTCAGCCTAAATTAAGTACTTGGTGTCATGCGTGTCAACATTAGCACTGGGGAGATAATGGCGGCAAGAATTGGTCTTCACCAACCCACTGTCCCACGCGGTTATCAGAATAAATTATGCACCGTTATTGGAACATGTCAAATTTGTTATATTATATAACAGGCATGTACCAATGCATCAATTACACATTAAAATATATTCTTATGCTTATGATACGTGCATAGAATCGCGTAAGAATTATGTATTCAAATTATATGCACATTGTATGCTGTGACATTTAGGCTAACAGAGCAAACAACTGGAAATGAGAAAGATTTAAAAAAAACATTGTAAATAAAGGAGATGGCAAAACACCAGACTAAAAGAAATGTGATTCATTAATTGAATAGTGGCCCTGAATCATGACAATTGATTGACCGGGGGGAGACAACTGGTACATACATGCCTGTTATAGAACTTAGTAGACTACTTTAAAATTTCAACACAAGAGAAAACCCGTATTAAACCAACCTGTGGTATACTCAGTGGCCTATTTGTCAACACACTCAATCACCGCTTAGCGAGTCCTAAGTTCCTTTTTTTAAACCCACCACAGGCGTTCCAACGGTCTTCTTGGTTTGTATGGCAAGAGGCGGTTAGCATCTCGCCATGATGCAGAGATGTTAACCACCTCACCTGGAAGAAAGCAGGTCGTGGGTTCAATCCCGACCCTGATGCCTGTATATTTGGAGTTTGCATGTTCTCCCCGTGTTAATTTTTCTCCGGGTCCTCCAGTTTTTCCCTCCACATTTAGAAACATGCGTTTAGAGTATTTGACTGCTTTAAATTTCAAAATGATAAGCCACTTCGTTGCACTATCATTTGTGGTCAGGTCGCTTCTGAAAGAGAGCTATATAGCTCAGTGGGCCTTCCCTGGTAAAATAAAAAAAAACAGTTTATAGAAGTTTAGGTTTAATGAGTCAGCCAGTGGACAGCTTCAGGATTCGCCTGGTGAACATCTCAAACGCTCCCAATGAATGATTGAAGCGGGCAATGGCATGGCTATGTGGGGTCCATGGTTTGAGATACAAACTCACCCTGAGACTTAAACGAAGGCGGTTACTGTGTAGTCTGTGGTGTAAGATATAGACTTGCATGGAGATTCATATCTTTTTCCACACGTTTGTCCGACTCATGTGGGGTCCGGTGTCCTTGCCAACCTCCATCCTGCCCTGTCCTGCACCATCTTCTCTTTCCGCTCCTCGGGCCACCATGTCCGATCGCACCACATCACCCCACCTCTTCCTCTGCTTTCCCCTCGATCTGTTTCCATCCACTTGCATCATTTGCACCTTCTGACCCACGTAATTTTCCCGTCTCTCACCATGTCCGAACCGCACCAGCCTTTTCTCTCTCATTTTCTCTGTGCTTTCTACCACCTTGAGTCTTCCTCTCACTACATTTTTCACCCTGTTCTTCCTTGGAAAACTCAACATCCACCGCAACATCCTCATCTCTGTCACTGCCATAGAGATTGCATCCATTGTTGACCTTCCCTGTCTGAATACAAACTGACTCGCCAATATCCACCAGCTTCCTCAATCTCCTTTCTATGATCCTTTCCCAGAGTTTCTTGGTGTGGCTCAATGCTATTCCTCTGTAACTCCCACACTCTTGGACGTCACCTTTCCCTTTAAGGATGGGAACCAATGTACTCTCTCTGTATGCATCTGCCATTTTCTTATGAATTTAAACATCAATTGGAATCTCATCTGGAACCACTGCCTTGTGATGGATCATGCTCCCCAGAGCCTCCACCACCTCTTCTCTGGTTATAGTATCTGCAACTATATTCTTGGTTTTTTCTTCTTTGGTTCTTTCGGTAAAGTCACGTAGAATGAGAAAACTGTCGGGACGACAGCGCTTCAAATTGAAGCTCTGTCGTCCCGACAGTTTTGTTCCTTCACCTGAAGAAGACTACTTGTGTTGTGGCCGAAACGTCGTGAGAATTTAATTGTCTTATTTTATTTTATTATTTTATTCTCATTCTACGTGACTTTACCGAAACAACCAAAGAAGAACTTTACCATTTTCCTACTCGGGACCAAGGTCAAGGTCCCCAAGTAGGACAAACACAAAATATAAAGGAAAAATGTGCTCAAGTCTGCAAAATCAGGGTAAGTGTCTCACAGAGGAATCCTTCAGGACATCTCAAATGTTCTTAGTCCACATGTAACACTTTTTTATTTAAAACCCCACAAGGCACTAATTAGCATACAGGCGATTTCCAAGTTAATACATTTTATCCATTACATTTCAAATAAAATGTAATTTTGTCACCAATTTAAAGGCCCAAAACGCATTATCAGTGGCGAGGTACATGGCAAACCCATTCTGGGGCTTTGTTTTTGATGTCAGTCACGTTCAAACTTCAGGAATATTCCAATTGCCTTCCTTGAAAAGTTTTAATAAACCACCACCACTCCGCACGGTGCCTTCAACCACACGGATGTAAATGATTTGCCTTGTGCCCATCTTCTGTTACTCGAAGCCCTCACAAGTGCTGGGCGCGACCAAATTAAACGTAAAAACCCAAAACATTAAAAAAAAATTGCGCCATTGCGATGACGGGGCTAAACCAATTAAGCGCCTCCACTTGAGAGCCTGCGTTAATCTCGGCTGGGAGACCCGGGAGTTGAACCCAGCGTCTCCATGATGCTGGCTCAGTGCTCTGATGAGGGCTGTAGTGTCAGCCTCCCTGAGCCACCAGGGCCACCTCGAATCCAGAAATTTTCAACACATCAAGCCATCGTTCCTTAACAAATCAATACTTCAGTATTAACAATATACACGAGTATAGCACCAAACAGGAAAGCTGATTACTTCACTGTGCGTGTGTGTAGGTCATAGGAGTGAAAAAAAATGAGGGTTCTAGCAAAGTAAACTCTTAGTACTGCGTATCTTTTAGCGGTTGTGCTGTAGAGCTCTCGATACATTTTCCGGTTGTAACTTGGTATACCTTGACAATGCATCGGAGAGCAATTAAGTAAACTCTTTAGGGGGTCATAGGCTTAACATCTCACAGTTGTCACTAATATTTGGGTTGACGGGAAACGTTTACTCACAGCTTACTGGTCAGTGTGTGAAAAAAAACCCATCGTGACCATTGCTTTATAAAAAAAGAAAAATCTTGAGAATCCCTGCCGCTGTCCTTGCATCCATCACCTTCTCTTCCCGCTGAGCGTGAAGCATTCACCATCACCGCAACCGCTCTCCCACGCTTGGGAATTCTCCAATTTCTACGGGACGTGCTCATGCATCGGGAGAACACAGAGCACGACAAAAAAAGAAGGGAGAAGACTGAGGGGAGGAAACGAGATGGTGGAGGGGAATACTCGATGAGCACGGGCGGGACAGGAGAGACAATTTGGGAAATAAGTCAAGGAGGGAAGTAGGAAAAATGTGGAGGAGAGTAATATTGCAGTGGAATAATCAGCAGTGCTTGTGATGAAGGCAAGCCAGAAGGAATATGAAAAGGGGAGGGCAGAGGTCACGTGAGAGGGGCGGCCGTTCGTGCTGAGCTCATGGGGTCATCGGGGTCTGGCCGTGCGGGGCGCAGGGTTCAAGGGTCGCACGTCTACGCCAAGTGCGATGACCGGGTGTGACGCGGCGCTGCGTGACGTCGTTTCTTGCTCTTCCCGCTGCCGTGGTTCTTGTTGCTGCTGATGATGATAAATGGCGGCCCCTGGGGCACGCACGCCGAGTTGTCGCAGATTCCGGCCGTCCCGGCCGCACCGGATGACCCTTGAAGTCCGACCCGTCCCGGATCGCCAGGGTCGCCCACTGCCCCATCTCGTCCATTCCGGCTCACGCCCTCAGGGCCCGGAACACCTGGGGGTGCCACAGAGTGAGCCCCGGATTTATGAAATATTAGCTCACTTCATCACTTTTCCATCACTACGACCATGGTTATTGTTCTCATGAACTCCACTCATTGATTCCTCCGCCCGTGCAACAACCACCCTTACCTTGAGGACCTGGATCTCCCACAGCACCTTTAATGGCCTTTCCTACAGATCCTTTGTCGCCAGTAGTGCCCAGTTCACCTGGGCACATGCACACGTGTACACACAACAAAGCATTAACATTTAAGCGTAATTCTAAAATGTACTTGTAGTTTTTTAGGTTTTGTTTTGGGGGATTTTCAGCCAGGTTTAATTATTAATTCTTGGGTTACGTTTCACTGATATTCTCACCGGTATGTCATACACATCTGCTTTGTTTCTTACCAGTATGCGTACTGGCAGAAATATAACATCTCTACTGGCTTAAACTTAGGTCTGATAGTTTAAACAATGGCCTAAGCACTACACATGCACCCTAACCCTAAACACACACGGGACTAAACGCCCCACCACATTTGTGTGCAAACAACACGTTCCTTGGCCATCTCACCCTTGGGCCCTGTGTCTCCCATGATGCCCCAAGGTCCCTTGAGGCCGGGCGGGCCACGTGGGCCCTGCAGGCCGGTGGCTCCCATGTCGCCGGGCGGCCCAGGAGGGCCAGCGGGCCCAGGTAAGCCTGGCATTCCAAGCTCACGTCGCTGCAGGCTAGAGGAGAGATGGGCCACCTGGTCTGGTGCAGGGCCGGGTGTAGGGGGCGACGGGTGGTGGGGGGTAGTGAGAGAAAGGACGTTTATCGCCGTCCCATCGTGTCTTATGGCTGTACCGCTCGGTGTTGTTCGGCACGACGCCTCACGTTTCGCTCCACGTGCTTCTTCGTGAACCGAATTGAAAGCTCACGGCACGTAACGCGAAACGTTGGACATGGTGCCCAACGACATGCGGTAGAACTTGAAAACGGATGGGAAATGTGAACAAAAAAATTACAAAGCTAACATTAATGAAAACAGAACAGTGCCATTGCTTTCGTGGGTATCGCCTGGTGCAGGCTGCTGGGCACACTCACCGGTCATCATGCGTGTACACAGCTCGCGGATTCTCTGCTCGCTGGAGATCGGGCCCTGTGGCGGGGCGGGGAATGAACGAAGGAGTGCGCAAAAGTGAAACAACAAAAAACGAAACTTTACAATCTCAATTTGGCAGGAAGGGTTGGCTGCACAACTTTCATTCAGATTTTCCAAATGCTGATTCTGATCTGCCTACAAGTTGCTTTCCCTCGCCGGTACAGTACTTGTCGTAGCATCTGTTTCGTTAGTCGCTTGTACGCATTACCGGCACGAAACCAGCAGCTTGCAGTGCGAGACCAGCGGCGGGGAAAGAAGCTATACTAATCGAGATTGAAAACGCATCGACCCTCGTGGATGCCAGGGCGATAAACCGGTCACGCCGCAGTGACTTGTGGAAGACGACAGCGGGCCGGCAGGTCACAGTCCTCGCGTGCATCACTCACGGGAGGCCCCGGTCGGCCCGAGCGTCCGGGGACCCCAGGCTCCCCCTCGGTGCCCGTCTTGCCTTGAGACCCGGGCCTCCCCTCCGGACCCAGCTCCCCACGGGGCCCGTTGGCTCCTCCAGGGCCCATCTCACCCAGGGGCCCCGGCTGATTGCGTTAATGAGACAGGAGGAAGGTGGTGAGAAGGGGAGGGGGGCCAGCAAGAAAAGACGTGCAGGGAGGTACATAAACCAGACAAGCGTTTACACAGATATCATGAATCATCATCGTCATCCCCTTTCCCCTGCCACGTGGGCACCTGGCCTCCAGCTTGTCCTCAGTAGAATAGCTGTGCCCCCTCTCCCCATCGCTCGTGCATTGTACCGGCTCTTGTTTAATAAAAAAAACTATTTAAAAAAAATCTTCATCATCATCGATGATCAATCCACAGTTGGATGAAGGTCTCCCCAAGACGTCACCATCTCTCGGGATCACACGAAGCAACAATCCACTCAGCACCTACAAATGTAACAATATTATTTACACTGATATTATGTCCATTGTCAATTCACTGCTGGAAGAAGGCCTCTCGAGAGAACGTGCGGATTATGTTTAACCATACTTCACCACAACGCTCAGTATGGGTTGGTGAAGTAAGCGGGAGAGAGCCAAGAGCTGTTCAGTTATCAATCGCCCCTGATGTTAGCCGTGGCTGGGAATCGAACTCGGGTCGCCAGGGTTCGTCGCGCAGCAGCAGTTACCCCACGATCGACACAGCATGGGTTTAGTGAGGCCTTCATCCATCAGTGAATTGACAAACATATCGACATTCATTCATTCAAGCCGAGTTCTTTCTCCGACTTCTGGATGGAAACCCAGTGAATGGATTACGAGGTCCAGCCACAACGGTGCTCTGGCTGCAGTCGACTGTGAATCGAGTGTCAGTGGGCGGCCACACTACTGAACGTGAACGCTCTTTAACAAAAAGTGTGCGTGCGGTGAATGCAATTCTCAAAAAACTCACCGCCCCCTTTTGGCCTTTGTCTCCCACGGGTCCCTGCGAGAGTGAAAAGCAAAAAGGAAGGAGTTTAATCGATCAGGAGGCCGATCTGTTGCGCGTCGCCGGCTCGTTGTCTGTGCACGTGACGGCCGTAACCAAGAGTCGTCGTCGTCGTCGTGGCTGGAGTTCTTGGTATTCACTTCACAGCGCGCGTGATTTTAATTGTTTTCCCCTACCAGTCCTAGATGTCCCGCTGTCACCTACAGCAAACACCTCGATATGCGTATATTCGATAAAAACAACGTTTTAGCAGAGAACGAATCTTTGGATTGCTTTCCATTATTATTTTACACAGAAAGCTAAAAAAAGAAAGCGTTAAAGTAATAAATTCATACACTGAGATGAATAATACATGTATTCATCCAGAGTATGATATAAATGGGACTGCAATTATAATAAGATATTGATTCTTTACACTGTTTCTTTTATTTGAGTCAGTTTTTTATTTTTATATTGTGCAGTATAAAATATATTATTTTCAATATAAACGGGCTTTGTTTACGATTTGAAGAGTCGGTTATGAAGTCTTTATGGTATGAAATTGTACGTTACGAAGGCTGGGAACGCGTTCTCCGTATCAATGTTATAAGTTATTCAATATACGAGTTTTCAATACATGAACGAAACTCCTGGGAAGGCATCTACTTCGTATATCGAGGAATTACTGTAATCCTGTCGTTTCCTCCCCCACCCCCACCCCTCAGCCAAGTTATCCTAGTCGTGCTATCGATGCCATGTCAAGAGGCAATGCCACCCAACGAAGAATCCACAACGAGCTCTCTCAGAGCAGTACATACCCTGTGTGTTTGAGAATGGCCCGTGGAGGCAGAGATCACAGAACTACTTCTGAGATCCCTTCAAGTGATCTTCGTAATTTACCAATCATTTTGGTGACACTGTATTGGCAGCGGTGCACAAGCACAAAACACCGAACAACGCAACACATTCGTCAATAATATTGCTGCCTTAATTCTGCGAGCTAAATTACGCAACAACAAAAACATTTAACTTAATGCTCTTTTTTTTTTGTCCGCAGTCATCGGTCCAGTGGGCTGGCACCATCAACTCGATACACTTGAGAACCCGGCTTAATCCCACGCAGCTCAAACCCAAATCCCACGCGCAGTCAGGAAGTGGGGCTTGATTCTTACAGTGCCCGCACAATTAAATCAACACGTATGCCCACGGTCTCTCTTCACAACATTCACGATGGCGGTGGGGATTTAGTTTACATCAGGTCAGAGCCACTGAGTTAACAAGATCTTTTTTCAAATGGCGACCCGGTCAAAACAGCCGATGGAGTAGCAAGAATGTTACACAGGAAGGGAGCGTTTCACTTGAGTTGCATAGACCACGGGCATTTAATAAGGCATTTGTAGCAGAATTTAAGGGGGGGCAGTCGGAGCGGCAACCAGCCTAGTTTCCTCTGCTACTGCAGAAGCGGACAGCATGTGCGTTCGTTGGGACCTCCTGAGCGAGCAGCGAACCCGAGGGAAGCGATGTGTGGACCGGAGGGAAGCTAAAAGGCCTCAGAATTTGGCCATCGAAACGTCCGGAGAATAAGAGCACTACGGATTTGCAGGAATTGTCGTCTTGGTGATCTCTCTCTCCCTCTCTCTACGACCCATCACCGTTTGTTTCTTCGGCGTCTCGAGACGCGGTCACATTTCGAGACGCGATATAAAGGCAGGTGTTTTTTTGTTGCCGCGCGCAGCTCGTTTCAGCCGTAGCCACCACCATCGGCGAGGTTCTTCGCGCGAGTTGCCGGTGAGTTCCTCTCACCTTACCGCCGTCATCCCCACTGACGCCGGAGCCTCCGTCCAAACCCTGACCGCAGGCAAGAGATGCATTGTCGTTGTTATATTGTCACTCGATCATTCGGTCAGTTGACAGTTTTTAACGTGTTAATTAAAGTCGCAAATTGAATGTTAAGAATATATAATTGAGATTGCAACTTTTATTGAAGAACTACACTCAGTCATGCCTAAGGAAAACAGCCTATATGTCGCACATCAACATTACCATCATACCACGATGAAATATTATTTTACCATTTTACCACATATACACTTCTCATTATCCTTACAAAAGAGATTATACATCGTGCAGCCATCATCACACCACATTAAAAAAATGATTAATGCAGCATTTAATCATTTAGCACACATCCATGTTTCATAAGCTATCATATTGACAAAATCTTGAGAAAAATACGTTGTGTAAGGCAGATGTTAGGATTACAATCGTAACAATAATAACAATCCTAACTTTGAAAATAATTATGATTATTCAAATTAAATATGAACATTAGCAATATAAACTACTCACAGGGTCTCCCTTTTGGCCGCCATTTCCTCGCCCTCCCTGGAAAAAAGGATTAGAGCTTTACATTTGAAAATACACTAAATTCATATTTCTTTGACATTTGCTTCCCCCCTTTAATTTCTAAGACCTGCATAATGAGCAACCGTGCCACAGAGCAAATCTTTTGTTCTGTTATGTCTTTTCATGCACTCATTGATGACCACTTGGGCCTATGGAATCGCCATACCTGAGAACTCAATTTAATCTCTACTTTCCGGAAAGTCCAGGATTCAAACCGATAAGCTTTGGCCTAGCCTTCTCGACACGGGCATAAGCATCATCACCCTTTGAGAGAGACCCATCGACTTTTAATCACGTCCTGTCATTTCAAAGTTTTATAAGGCCTATTCAAGCGCTAACACCGACTTCAGAAACGGTCTTTTGTTCAGTCGCTAGTTCAGGGGTCAGCAACCAAAATAACAAGAAGAGACATTTTTTTCGAATTCGGTAAAGAAAAAAAAAATTCGCTATTAGAAGACCCACAACGCGAGTGAATACGAGACTGTAGCCCTTAATAAGTAACGTCACAAAGCAGCCCTTAAAGAGCCGCGTGCGGCTCCAGAGCCGCAGGTTTGCCAAACCCTGCGCTAGTCGCTGGGCTGCAGAGGTAGGCAAGAAGGGCTTCCACTACACAGGCAGCTCTCGACGCTACATCGTCGATTTACCCAGAATTCCCCAGCAGTAATTAACCCGCTGATGACACCGCGCTGAAGAAGCTGTGGAAGACAACGAATTGAGTACTTAAGTAATTTGAACAATCGGATGCAACTGGGAGTATCTAATGCAGTGTTCTTCACTAAATTTCAGCAGGGAGGCACTTTTGCCGATAAGACATCAGCGTGAGGGACGCCCACACCGCCGGAAAGGCGTTTTTTCACTTTTGTGTATTGTCAGGGGCCGCACTGAAGGCCACCAGAGGCCGCCAGTGGCCCACGGGCCTTGCAATGAAACACATTCCTGCGGAGGGAGCTGGTAGGAACGTTGGGTTGCTCGGTCAATGGCCAGAGTCAACGGTGGCGTGGTGTATTCCGCAAATATGCCCGACTGTGAGGGCGGGCACAAGCCGGCGTGAGTCGGTTAAACGTTGAGTTTTATAAGGGCACCACGGGGTGACCAGCTCCTCCCCACCCAGCCCCTCCCCACCCTCCCCTCCCCACCCAGCCCCTCCCCTCCCATTTTTGGATGCACGACGGACGGACACAATAATCCCCTGTGGGCTGCTGGTGTAGTAACCAGGAGGTTCCTACCAGTAAAACACTGGTCTAATGCTAAGGTCTTGAGTAATATCATGGTCAGCGCTAAATAGGACACAAACACCGAGAGACACTGCACTGAAGCAAAGCACTGTGGGAATTCTCACCTTGTGACCCTTCATGCCGAGGGGTCCGGGAGCTCCGGGCAAGCCCAGCACTCCAGGGTCACCCAAGGGACCCTGGTTGATAAATGAAAATAAAACAAAAGGGGAATTCAAAACGTCATCGCATTTTCTTCAGTAACAATAAACATCACAATGCACAGGTGGCTTGGGAAAGCAGTGCAGCTTTGGTGCTCTACGCTCCACGAGGAACCAACACCTGTGCAGTGGTTTAACTAGAAACATTCACTTTGTTGCTGAGATTTGTTTTGTTTAAAAGCTTCGTTCCACTCGAGAACATTTCGTAGTCATGATGTTTCATTCTGCGTCTTCATATGTGGCACTTGAACCTCTACTCTTAACAAAGCATTCATTTCACCCAGGTCTCCGGCGAAAGAAATGAATGCTTGTCATATCAACAGGATTGTATTTTACCTGGCCTTAAAAGCAAACGGAATGAACCACAGCGTATGGCAACACAGATCCGACCCGACATGTTCACGAGAGTAACAACAATAATAATACCAACGATGACGCCATCTCACCTGTACGCCTGGCTCTCCTGGAGGCCCAATGGGGCCCAGTTGTCCGGGCCGGCCCTGTAACGACACACAGCGCCCTGCCTGGTAAGAGCGCCGTCGGCACGGACGCGTGTAGTGCCCTGTTGTGTTTGTGTTTTTGATTTGTGGCGCCCGGAACCATGTCCGACGTTTCGGACATCCAGCTCGTCGGGATGTGGTGGCGAAACGTCGGACATCGTGCCAAACGGCAAACGGTAAAAACCCGAAAATGCACTGGAGAGCTACATCAGAAACCTGCAGCGCGCTCGAACCTGTCAGATCTCGAAAGCTAAGCAGGTTTTGAACCTGGACAGTACTTAAGGTTGGCGTCTGCAATGCATGGCAAGTTGTTATAGGCTGAGGGGTGAAGTGGGTGGACAGTAGAGGGCAGTGCATCAGAATACATTGTTGTAATGTACTTTATATGCTTTCGTGTCCATGCTCTCCACCTTCACCTTCCCGCACTGACCAGTGTGTTGAAGTATGCGCAAATAACTCCCATGACCGACACATGATGGGTTAAACAACTCCGTGTTTGATTTAAATTGGCTAAAACTTGAACGGGATGAGGTGTCTGTATCTGATGAGACGATGGTCTATATAGGACAAGGCAAGGGTTCCTCTACTGGATTGTGATGAGCTTTCTCATTCGAATCAACCAACTTCAGTACAATTGAAAAACATAAACATTTGTATTGATATTTCAATCGGGCACTGAATTACAAGTGTACACGGACGCCTTTTCACTTACAGCAGGACCCCTGCCGCCAACAGGACCAATGTCCCCAGCGTCTCCTTGATCTCCCTGCGAACAGATCCACAAAGACTCGTTAACAACACTTACACATTACACAGTGAACGACAAAGACTCGTTAACAATATTTATACAAAACACAACGACCAACAAAGACTTACTTTTTTGTTATTTCGGTAAAGTCACGTAGAAAGAAAATAAATTTGATGATGGAATATGATGTTTCGATTGCAACACAAGCAATCATCATCAGGTACGAATGAATGAGAAAAAAACAAACCTAGTAAACTTAGAAATATAATGCAATACAACACAGAGAGTCGGCTAACATAACAGTCAACACCCTACCTGGTTGATTACGTTCTTCCAAAGATTGCTACATTTGGAAGAACGTTATCAACCAGGTAGGGTGTTGACTGTTAGGTTAGCCGACTCTCTGTGTTGTATTGCATTGTATTTCCAAGTTTACTAGGTTTGTTTTTCTCATTCATTCGTACCTGATGACGATTGCTTGTGTTGCAATCGAAACGTCGTATTCCATTATTTAATTTAATTTCTTTCTACGTGACTTTACCGAAATAACAAAAAAGTAATTCCTGCAGTCACGAAGGCTCCAAATCAAGTTTCAACAAAGACTTGTTAACAACATTTATACATTACACAGCGACCAAGAGAGACTCCGTTAACAACCGCTTACCCATTACAAAGCGGCCAAAAAAGGCTCGTTAACATCTCATTTACAAAACAGAATAGAATGATGTCGTTGACAGGGGCGTACAAGGATTGAGGAATGAGTGACAGCGATAGAGGGGTACTTAGGGATCGCAAAGGGATAGGAGAGAGACGGGAATGAGTGGAGGGGTGAGGGCAGGAAAGAGAATGGGCAATGGAGAGGAACGGAAGAGGGTTAAGGAGGAGGAACTGCCAGTGGCCGGATTATCCTCATTGCAGAAGTAGCTACATATCAGGGACGTGCGGTCAGGGGAGGCAGGGGAGGCAGAGCCTCACCTGTCATACTCCAATGGTAATAGCTGTTACGAAAAAAAGAAGAAGAATCAAATAAAATAAATATTAAGATTTTTCCACTGATCTGTGTTATAAATGTCATTTCTGTACGATTCCAATCGTTTTTATAGTGAAAATCGCCAAAATTTGCGGAGCTCCGTTGCAAATACAGGAAGAGACGAGAGGTGAGGCAGCGACGAGCTCAGCCTCCCCTCTGATTGCACAACCCCTTAGTAACTGGATGGAGCACGGGCAATAAGCGCGTGCCTGTTACTATCTCAGCATGTCACCAATGTAATGTTTGTAGACCCCTTCATTTCATATCCTCGCCTTCCATACTCCAGGTAACTTATTTTTCACGTATGTGTATAAAGATGTTTAGGCTCGCTGGTCTCGTCATAAAACTCCAATGAAAAAGCACCAGGAGAGGCAGCTATCACATCTGCCTCACTGAGGGGGAGGTGTCTAACACGCCCCCCTCATGTGAGGACACGCCCCCTCCGTGAGGCCACGCCCCCTCCGTGAGGCCACGCCTCCTCAGTGTGTGAATCTGGCTCTGACACAAGCCAGTGCCTCCCCAGCCATTGACCTCACCGCACGTCACTGCTACATATGCTATGGGCCCCGCACTTTCAAGGGCCCTACGTTAAATGCTTTCAAGTTATCAATATCGGTTCAGTGATCCTGCACTTGCTCTATTACGATAGCACTATATCGCCTTCAACTTTTATGAACGACTGGGTGTTTAAGGTTAGCGATTTGTCGTATTATCTGGCTGTATAGCAAATGAAAAAATACAAATACTTTACTATGCAAGTAAAAAATGTGTTTTAATATTTATGTGTTTTTTATTGTTAATTTAGTACCCCTTTATAACATATGCTACAGGCCCTGCACTCGCTTAATCCGGCACTGGGAAATGGTTAATGTGCAGGGGAAGTTTATTATTCCAGTGGAGGGGTGCATGGAGGGAGAAGGGCCGAAAGCGGGATTGGGCACAGGCAGTAGGAGGGACAGAGAGAGACAGAGAGAAGATTGGGAACGATGAGGAGACATGGAAGGAGATGAGAGAGACAAGAATCAGGATCAGGAAAGACGATGCCAGGTGTTTGAAAAGACAGCGGTCGAAAACTGGAAGCCAGCCGAATTGAAGGAGCAGAGGTGACCAACAAAGACTCGCTCACGACACTGGACATGCTTTGCCCAGAGTTGCTCGTAATTCGGAGAAAGCGGCTGAGCTTGAAAGCCGCCTCAAAACGCACATTTTTTTCTATTCCGTTCGGTTCTCTGAACCGGTTTCTATGGCCGCTTAGTTTTCTCCTCCACCTTGGGCCAACGGTTGTTTTTTGTTTTATTTTGCAAATTGCAGCGAGGAAACAAAGTTCCCGTCGCACTATCTACAAAAAGACAGCGAACGACAAAGGCTCGTCAACAACATTATAAAACGACATAGAGGAGCAACAGAGACTCGTGAATGTTCGTGCTGTCGTCGTCAATTGGCGACGGTACGTACCGCGACACCCTGGATGCCCTGAGGCCCCATGCCACCCATGGGTCCTGGGTCACCCTGTACACGCGCCACGCATCATCGTTAGCCACTCCACACAAAGGCAAAGATCCCCCGTATAGCCTTCACAGACTGTTGGGGCAAGTACTGTTCGCGAGTTGCACCTACGGAGGTCAGCACGGCACACGAGATGGTGAGCGGCCACAACACCACACCCGGCCGGCCGCCTTTGTCTTCCCAATGTTGATATTTAAACACTGCAATGGGTACTCATTAAAGGCCGATTCGATCTAGGGTAGGCCCCAGAATCTGGTTCATATACCCGCTACCGATGTTGGCCGTGAGGGGAAATTGAACTCGGGTCACTGTGTTCAAAGCGCAGTGCGCTAACCACTACAATACCACTCCCCACCACTCTCACACACACACTCAACCGAGCCAGGGACAGCTCTGAGCTGAGATTCTGAGAGGCTTCTCTTCATCACGTCTCCTGCACGGACCTCTTACAAATGAGACTATTCTAACCTCTTGAGTTCTCACCTGCTGAGACAAAACTAGTCTTGAGCTTCAACAACAATACCCGCCGTTCGCCACTAAGTGACGGTGACGTCACCACGGCGCCTGTGCCAGGCCAGGTGCACTTTGAAGGCACGTGAAGTGTCGCTGCAGACAGGAGGTAATGACACGGGACAGACCCAGGTGCCATGGGTTGACTGACTGAGATGACTGGCAGATGCACCAGCAGCTGTGCCCCCTACCGTGCCAACTTGAGCTTACCTCCCATATAAACCTACGGCCGCTGTTAAATCAGCGCTTCAGCCGTGTCGTCAACGAAGGGTCGTGCCAATTGGTCGACCCCCCGGAGGGCACCGCGAGCCTCGCCGTGCGATGATCTACGCGTTGACGCCTGCGAACGCAGAACCAACCGGATTTTGTTCGATCTCCTTTTACCTGAATCCCGGTGTTTCCCTTGATACCATTGGGGCCTTGTACACCCTGAAAAAGATGGCAAATAGTAAGGTAAGAACAGTCATTATCTATTTATTATACATACACTCACCCTGCCATGGGAATGTGGAATTGCCACCACTGGCTCAGGGGCTTGAACCAGGAGATGAGCACCACCTCAAAATGCTAATTTGAGCAGAAAATCACTATGAAGTATTTTATGCAAATGATCGTTATGAAGACGATGATGATGATGCCGGCAATGATGACGACGACGATGATGATGATGATGACCGCGCCAAAGATGATGACGATGACGTTACCGGGATTCCTCCGGGGCCCCTCTCCCCAGGGACACCTGGGCGCCCAGCATCGCCCTGCCAACACAAAACAGAACATTGTGACAATGACACGTGGCGTCAAACTTAGGGTCGCCACCTCTTCTGGTTTTCCCAGGATCCTCCTCTTGTTGAGGATGCAGCAGCCATCCTGGGGAATCTCTAAGTCGTCCAGGAACATTACAATTATTTTTTTTGTATCAGTTGCATACGAATGATGATAATAATGATCACCACTCAAGAAAGTGCATTTGCATGCAATTCTCCCCTCTTCCGGCTTTGTGGGATATTCATTCTCTTCCCATGAATTGTCCCCGAATGTGTCGTACGTCATAGGTGGCAACCCTAGAGATGAGGCAAATGTTGAGGCATAGCAAGGGAACATCCTTAAATAGGGGGTCAGTTGCATTCACTCCACTCTGCTCCCCACATTGCTTACTTTAACGGAAAAGTACAGCTTAACCCAGAAAGGACCTCATTCAATAATAAAAATGCGATTCATGAGGCAGACACAATATTTCACGGGCACACAGTAAATGACCATGACTGAGACGCGAAGCCAAACGCAGTGCTGCTCGAGAGCCAGGCGGGAGAGGCCAGAGGCCTTCAGTGGGGATGGTGGCCACGTTCAAAGCGGCGGCGGTTGCCACGGAGACAACGACGCGTGGCAGTGACTACAGTTCTGACTCCTTGGTGTAGAGAGGAGGAGGAGGATGTTGTGCAGAGTTGCCCTGCTGCTGCTGCTGCTGGTGGAGAGTTCTACATATAGACATCGTTGTCCTATCCCGTTGCAAAGATCCCCCATGTAGCCTTAACAGACTGTAGGAGCAAGTGTTGTTAGCGAGCACCTGTGAAGGCTGGCACAGCACAAAAAAATATATTCTTGAAATATCCTGTAACAACAACACCCGCCATTCTCCACGAAGTGATGGTGAAGTTACCAACCACGGTGCCTGTGCCAGGCCAGGTGGACTTTGAGGCCATGTGATGTGTCGAACACTGGCTGACAGGAGGTCACGGGACAGACCCAGATGCCATGGGCTGGCTGACTGAGATGACTGGCAGATGTACCCAGCTGTGCCCCCTACTGTGCCAACTTATTCCATTTTAGCCGCCTGGTGCTCCGCTCGTTGTTGTGAGCGTCGGGTGCTCCACTCGTTGTTGTGAGCGTCGCTCCTCTGCCGCCCGTTGTTGTTGGAGGGCGACTGCCTCCAACTGCCCAGTAGCAGCGTCCTTCACGAGCCTCCTCCATATCCAGTAACACACAGACACACACAAAGCGCGAGCGCGTGCATCTGGACAACAAACCTTTTCTCCATTCTTGCCAGGAATTCCATCTCGTGCATCCCCACCATTAATGCCCTGAAACAAAAACAAAAGAGCGGGCGTTAACGCGAACGCGTAGGGTTCCGTGGTCGAGATGCCGCAACGTGTCTTTGAGCTGCGCCACCATGCGTTGCTCATGGCGCAGCATCCGACATTTCGGTCCACGTGCTGAGAGAACTTTAAATCAGTTTCTGAAGAAGCTCCCGGCTACACGCTACAACCCAGATAAAGAAGAAACACCGTAGAGCCGAAGAATTCCGAGGAAGATTCCTTTGATAATAAATGAAAGCAGGGTTCTTCAACTGTATTTTCCAGCGAAGCGCATCATAAAATTAAAGGTACTTTACGTATGTCCGGCACAGCGGTATTTCTTGAGTATTTCTCTCTCGTGATGACTGACCCCACATCTGCAAAGTGTCGGCAATGTATGGCAGACATCGTGGAACTGCCCAGGGTTGTGACTTACCGACTGCCCTTTCACCCCCTGATGCCCTTGCAATCCACTTGGCCCCTCTACACCCTGCAGCACAAGGAGAACAACACGTGAGCAAGTGTGGAGGCCTTCAGAACACCGGGCTGCACATGTGGAGCCAGAAGCGTGTTTCCCTACGTCACTGCAGATTTGTTTGGTCGGTTCATTGTAAAATAAAGAAATAATGTGCAACAAGGAGCAAAACTGAATAGTGCGCAAAGAGGCGTGGAGAGATTCATTCCTAGAATTGCATTGAGAGACCGATAGAGGAACACGTGGATTAGAGAACATACACAGGTCAAAGGCAGGACACGCTCCCTAGATGGAGTGATGGCCGATGGTTCATCAACAAATTACGGAAGAACAGACAAGGAACGGAACGCGTTCAAGGGTTGGGCAAGCATTAATCCAGCAGTGGACTGCTCATGGTTGATGATGATGATGATGATATATTGTATTGTATTTATTCATGTATTTCTTCGAAGAGTAATCGGTTGCTGTGGGGCATCTGTTAGGCATAAACGCATGAGGTGCATTTAAAATGTGGAATGAGGACGATGCTGAGATTTTCCCATTTTAAACGTTTCGGTCTGTGCTGTGGATGTGACGAGTTAATAAATCTAGCCATTTTAATGCAGGCCTCTTTATTGAGAAGTAAACAAGAGTTATAATTGGCAAGTTTATGTTTCGACCGCTTTGATGTCCTTCGTTAAATCAGGTGAGGGCCCATTGCATTCTAATATCTCTTTTTAAAAACAAAAAACTTGAGAAATATGGTCATAAAATGTTGAATTATTATTATTACTGTTATATTATTATAAGCCCAAACCAGCCAGAACCGGGTCGAATATCGCTCCTCGCCGCAGACGCTAGTCGCGGTCACGAATCGAACTCGGGTGGCCAGGATCATGGCGCAGTGCGCCAAAAACCCGCACCACCACTCCACCCCCACCTTGCGTGTGACTGTGTGTCACGACAAGGACAAGACTGTGTATCAGTGGGTGCACCATGTGGGGATCACAAGAAGCCGCCACTTACAACATCTCCGCGTGGGCCCTCTACGCCATGGTAGCCTTTTTGGCCGACGCCACCCTGTGGAGAATGCACGCACACGTCCCGTCAGCGCTCGCTCGCGGATCCGTTCACTCGGTACATCGCTCACTCCTCACCAAAGGACTCGGGAGCTTCGTCCTTCCCGTGCTGCGCAGGACACTGGGCCACACAGCTTGGCTACGTATTCCTAATACTCTGTGGTTCTTTCGGTAAAGTCACGTAGGTATAAAATAAAATAAAGTAAATCACGACGTTTCGGGCGCAGCACAAGCGTCCATCGTACGCATTCCTGCCTCGAGCCAGCTGAGCCACATCGTCCCATGGTATTCGACGTCATTCGCTCACTTATTTAAAACAAACAAAAAAACACACGCACACAGGTTTATCCCGATTGTGTTCTGGGTGTCATATCACAAGGCTGCGAATCAATTCGCAACTCTTGCAGAGCAGTGCACTTGGAAACGAAAACCACCCCTTCCAGCGACCCACAGTTCCACAACGTTATGCCACTCAAATTACTATATGTGCCATGACAGCCGAACCAATTTTTTTGTCCAGTTCATCACAGCTGGAATTTATTGCTGGGTTTTTTTTACAACCATTGGCGACCAGGATTGAGACCATCAACTCGCTGCAATTGAGGACCGAAGTTCAATCACTTTAACGTCACTTACTCGCTCACATCGCCATTCAACCATATTCGCTGTTTCAAAATCACGCAGCCATTCGTTAATTGTATTCATTCGTTTGCTCATTTACCTGCTGGTTAATTAACGTGTGCATTTTCTGGACGATTAACTAATTCGTTAATTCGAGCTCAATCTCCGCTCCTTACTTTGTGCCCCGTGCATTCGTTCATTCATTCATCTGGTCATATGTCTAGGTGTTCATTCCTGACTCGATTCATCCACGTGATGCTCACCAGTGGGCCTCGTGTGCCCGCAATTCCTGGGAGGCCAGGAATTCCAGGGAGGCCCTGTTGTCAGACAAATGCATGCACACGCACACATTTATATAAACACGTGTGAAAATAAAATATATACATTTATAAACACGTGTGAAAATAAAATAAAAACACATTTGCCATATGGAATAAAACACTTAATTGGGAAAAAAACAAGAGCAACATCATCTCCCTACTGGTAGACTAATGCCCATTTTATAGATAAGTGCAGTGTTCACTTTGTGCCACACAGAAACAGCTGCAACTGGTGGACCCCCGAAGCTAGAACCGCAGCAGGGCATTGGAATAATTCCGATGAGATGTGAGTTGCTGAGGTATTTAAGCAAACATCCTAACTAAATATCTAAATCAGCTTCTCCTGTATGTCAAGTGACTTCTGAATGGCCACCCCCACGCTGAATCCGGCCCCTCCCCCCCCCTATGAAAACAGACGATGTTCCGTGCAGCAGTGTCAAGGCTCTTGACGAGCCTCTTCCTCTCTCTCCTCATCTTTCCTGACCCTTTGGTCGCGTTTCTCTATCCACTATTCCAACCAATTTCTCTTCTTTCCCATTATTATTCTTCTTTCTTCCTAATCCTTTTTTTTAATCCATCAATTACATCCTTGACTCTCCTCCACTTTCCGTGGTGTGTGCCACAGGAACAAAAGTTGCTGGGACATGCAACTCTTTATCCATAAATACGAGTGCGTGTCCTCTATAGTGGATGGGGATTGATTGTTGTAACTTTCTGACCCATGCCAAATGGACATCTGTGAGAAAAGAGCTTCATAGCTCATCGGAATTTCTCCAGGATAAATAAAGATTATGATTTTGATTCTGCTTGGGTATGTATGTGGAACTTCTTTCGCACCGTACGTAGCCAACCGTGTGAAGCGGAGGTGTGGGGAAGGACAACAAACTAAACACAACAATCTGTTCTCAACAAATTGAGTTTTCCATTTAAATTTAAAAGTGCATAGGTCCAGTGGCTTCCTAATATCGGAAGGAAGAGCGTTCCAGATGGCCGCAGTGGACACAGCTCCTGAGCAGTGGGTGGGGTTCCCAGGTTTCCCTACCCAAGCTGATGCGATGATGGTGAGAGCAGTAAAGCCTTACTGAGTCTCAATACTCTTTTTCAGGAGGGTCCTGCCAAGTTTTTGCAATGGGGGGGGGGGGGAGGGTGATGTTGCTGCTGAGTGTAATCCCAAATGAGTAATTTCCAGGTAAATGTATCAGCATTTGCGGATATTTCAGCAATATCGGTTAAATGAATTTTGGGATTTTTTTGCTTATTGTTTTAGAAATTCTTATCTAGCGAAACCGTGGCAACCGTTAACGAGTGAGGCTCACCTGGTCTCCGACCGTCCCGGGCTCCCCGGTTTTTCCTCGTAGCCCACGCTTTCCCTGCAAAGTTCAAACGAGCGCAGTCACTACAGCGATATAACCACCGCGGTGAGGACGGTAGCAGCAGTGGGTGGGGGGAAAGACAACAAACTAAACACAAAAAGTCGTTCTCCAGAAATTAGTTTTCCATCTAGATGTAAAAGTGCATCGTTTCAGTGGTTTCCTAATATCAGAAAGAAGAGCGTTCCAGACGGCCACAAAAGCGCATCTGAAAGTACTCATTCTGAAAGTGCTGGCTGTGGGGAGCAGAAAGGGAGATCTCTGCGAGGAAGGACGGGGATGGAAAGACGCTCTCACCTGCAATCCCACGGTGCCCCGGTCGCCAATGATTCCGACTGGACCCATGTCTCCCTGTCATGTAGAAACATGCGTTCAGGTTAATTAGAATAGTCGACTGCTATGCATTTCCACATAATAAGCCACTTCGTTGAACTATCATTTGTGGCTAGGTCGCTTCTGAAAAAAGAAGCTAATAACTCAGTGGGCTTTACCTGGTCAAATAAAGTGAGGGTATTCATGTCAGCAATTCTCCTGCTGTATCTGTTCCACCTGATGACGGACGCTTGTGTTGCGATCGAAATGTCGTGATTTAATTTATTTTAATTTATACCTAAGTGACTTTACCGAAAGAACCAAAAAGTATGGATCCCTGCAGTCACTAAAACTTCAAACCTAGATATCCTTTGTGATTTACTTACCTTTCATATTCTTTGCACTTTTATCGTGTGTTTGTTTGTTGTTGTAACTTTGTGACCCGCTCTCGCTGGACATTTGTGAATAAGAGCTTTATAGCTCATCAGATTCCTCCAGTATAAATAGACTGATTTTGAACATGCAGTTAAAGGCCAAGGTCTAGCCCACGCCACTCATGGTAGAAGAGCATCCCACAAGAGGTGACTCTAGACAGAGAGAGAGAGACCCTCTAATGGGGAACTTTGGCCTCCTCTTCCACGCTTCCCCGTTAACGTGGAGCAACCACAAGTATCGTCCGTTCATTGAGAGACACGACAAGGTGTCAATAAGATATCCGAGTGGCAGTCGACTGATTTTTGTTCCCGAGAAAACGATTTACGTTTAAAACTGGCGCCCGAGACAGTCAGCCACGCTGCTACCGAGACATATACTGCTTCACCGATATCACCAGAATGAAATAACTGATTATTTTTTGCATAATGAATAACAGGACGTATTGTGTTAATGTGCTATGAAAAAAATGTACCCATGAACATCGACCGCTTTTATCCAAACGATGGGTGGTAAACTCGCATGTGACTTCTGGGTCACTTAAAGCCAATTCTGATGACCTGGGGTTGAGGTCATGACCTAACAAAATAAACTACTTTCAAAGAACACCAATCATGCATCCATAAAAAAACCTCCAGGATCGGTTTATGTATTCCTCGCCACTGATGTTATCCGTGGCCGGCAATTTAACTCTGGGCGGCTGGCTTCATAGCACAGTGCGCTAACCACTGAACAAACACTCCTTCCCTACTATCTGTTTATATGTGCATTTCTTGGCTATTTTAAGTTTTAAGTGTGTATTTGTTTTTGCCAGCTGGTATCTGATATGAGGCTCAATCGGGACTAAAACCGCACCGGATTCCATTATGGATTCCAATGACAATCGGTTCCGAAAACGATTGCTAAAAATGTTTTTTTACGATTGATTAACGATCCTCGCAATAATGAACCTGAGAGCAGACGCGGTGCAACGTACCCGACTGCCGATTTTCCCTTCTTCGCCAACAACCCCCTTCCACCCTTTGTGGCCCTGCAGAACACACACAGAGAACCACAGTTTAGCACCAGATGATGTTGGGCCAACTGCTGTTAGCGAGCACCTATTAAGGTCTCCTCGGTGCACGAGGGGGTGGTGCGAACAGCACCAAATCCCCGCTGCTGCCTTTGTCTCCACAGCGCTGATATTTTTACACGCCGCACACAACATGCTCATTCAAGGCTGAGTCAACCTACGGGAGACCCAGGACGCGTTGAGATAACAAAGTGCCACTGACGTTATCGGTGGCTAGGAATCGAACCCATGTGGTCAAGATCAGAAAGCGAAAACAAACCGACAACAAACCGTTATAACAACGACAACCGCCGTTTTCCACATTATCTGGCACCACACACATGATGCTATCACACATATACATGCGCGGACCTGCACACACGTGCACACACGTACACACACAGTACTGTAATTGTAGCACTGACACACACACACATACACTCATCTCTTCGGCTATATTTTCCGTGTGTGCTGGTGGCGCCACGCGCTGTCAATGTGATGTCTCAACATCAAAGTGTCATGTGCACAGAAGTTATGAGGTCAGAAATCGTGCCATGAGGTCATAATCTCTGCACGTGACCGCTAATTGGCACCTGCTGTCTACAACTCTCTGTAATCGATATCTTGTTTAACTTTATTTCATCTCACTGATCTGTTTATATCTGGGTGAGCCGGATCTCTCGGTAAGCCCCATCTGTCCCGTAGGCCGCCAGTCCACGAACTCCAGCCTCCTGGGACAACTTCTTTTAGCGAGCTCCTACGAAGGCCTGCACTTCACAAGACAAAGTCAGTGAGACGTACCTTGAACCCCGGCAGGCCTGGGTGCCCGGGTAGCCCGGCGGGGCACTCGATGGGGCACTGCGAGACACAAGAATGGCGTGGGCATGTGACACAACGCCAAACGGCACCCACGACTCCAGCAGACCAGGTCTACCAGTCGCATTTGGTGAAGCGTCCTCCGAGGGATACCTTAGGCCTCTTTGGTTTAAAAAGCTACGTATTATATTCTTGTTTTTTTTTCGCTAAAGTCACGTAGATAGAAAATACAAATAATAAAATAATAAATTGAAAATAATAAGACCGCTTGTGTTGCGATCGAAACGTCGTGGGTTCTTTTGCTTTTATTATTTTCAATTGATTCATTTTTATTATATATTTTTTTCTGTCTACGTGACTTTACCGACAAAAAAACAAGAATATGAATTCCTGCAGTCACGAAAGATTGAAGTCAAAATTTAAGCGATGTATTCTTTACTTTACATTGTGGTGCACTTTAACGCCTCTAGTGGCTGCAGGGGTCACGTGAACAAACAACGTAAAAATTCCACTCACCTTAGCCCAGTCATTTGTAACTTTACAACAAAAACACAAGCATAAGGTTTGGTTGAAACTCTTGCAGCGAATATTATTCTCTGCAGCAAGGCAGGTGGAAAAGTGCTGTCCCCTACTCTGCAGACCAGAGGTCAGAAATTATGTTTTATTTCTAAAGGTAAGGCCCACTGAGCTACATAGATCTTTTTTTAGAAGCGACCTGGCCACAAATGATAGCTCAATGACGTGGAAATGCATAGCAGCCAAATACTCTAAACGGATGTTTCTAAATGCGAAGGGAAAAACCGGAGGACCCGGAGAAACATCCACGCGACCACGGCGAGAACACGGAAACTCCAAATATACAGGCATCAGGGTCGGTATCGAACTTATGATCTCCTGCATACCATGCAAGGTAGTTAACATCTCGCCACCATTGCGCCACTTGAAGAGCTCTCAGGGGCAGCTCTGTGACATCCACTTCCGTGGCGTGTTCTCGAACATGAAGGGTTGCTCTGCTCTCTGAGAGATCGTAATAAAGTGTGTTGTCTCGTGACTGGATGCCTAGAGTGCGATCTGTATGAGACTGGGAAGGGAGATGTTTTAAAAGAGTTTCACTCACCACTCCCACTCCACTTCCGTCGCGTTCCAAATTGCTGGGTGGACCCTGCAACACGGACATTAAACAAACACCAACATGCGCTCACTTTTCAAATAAATATCTCCACTCGGCTAATACAACAGTCATTGCGTGGCCGACGAGGCCAAATGGGGCATCTGGGACAGGCCAGGCTGTAAGCGAGAACAGGTGCATACTGTGCATATCAGACTGGACGTGAAACTGACAGCACTGAACACTGGTTCAGACATGAAAGGCATTGTGGGTATTCTTCCCACGATGCTGTGCAGTCTGAATATCTTCCAACTTAGCAGGCGATGCGTGACACTCTGCTGTGGCCTGTACGCACAGTGAAGTGTTATTAAATCAGAACAGACCGGCTTCATAGCTCTAATCTGAACCCAGATACCACTTCACAATCAATCACAACAGGTCAGTTGAACCCAGATACCACTGGACAATCAATCACAACAGGTCAGTTTAAGACTAGAGTGCAATGAAGGTGGAGGTGATGGTGGATGATGGGGGGCTGGGGGCTCACCCTTTTTCCAATGGGGCCAGGAGGTCCAGGGGGCCCAGGGAGGCCAACACGACCCTAAACACATCACCAGCAAGATAAAAACAGGCGTCACGTCACGTGACATGTCAAGCAGTACAGGTGATGCATCAGGTGACGAGTTAAAAGAGTGCATAAGGTAACTCAAATTAACATATCGTGCCAAAATACAATTTGCACCATAAATCTAATCATGAATTAAAGCTACCAACTTTCTAGAATGCTCAACGTAAGTTCGCAGACCATTTATCTGCCAGATTCACCCATGTTTGCAAAGGCACGCCCACTCACCCGCAAACCTCACCCACAGTTGGCTCCACCTACTTCAAAGAGGTCACTCCCATTAATATGCCAGCCCCGCCCACTGTGCAGGTAGCCCCACCCACCGTACAGGTATCCCCACCCACAGTGCAGGTAGCCACACCCACAGTGCAGGTAGCTCCGCCCGCTACTCAGATAGCCCCTCCTACCATGCAGGTAGCCTTGCCTCCTGCTTGGGTAGCTCCTCCCACTATGCATACAGCCCCACCCACTACCCAGATAGCCCTACACACGAGTTGAACCGTCCTGTCCTCACGAGTTGAGCACAACTCCCAGATATTTTGTAGCTGGGGACAAAATCCAGATTTTTGTAAATGCTGTGGAACTTCGGGCCAGACTTTCTGAAACTCGAACATTTGGTGGCCTAACCTTTAGCGCGTTTCCAACAAATAAAACTGCGCTTAATTCTAACAGTGAATAACAAATATTATTTAGGTCTTTCGGTCAAGTCACGTCGATAGGTTCAAAGAAAATAACAAAAAACTACGACGTTTCGATCGCAACACAAGCGTTCGTCATCAGGAAGATTTTTGTTTGTTTGTTATTATCATCAGGAAGATTTTTATTTATTTTCTTTGAACCTATCTACGTGAGAATAAAATAATAAATTCTACGTGACTTTACCGAAAGAACCAAAGAAGATGAATCATTGCAGTCACGAAAGCTTTAAATCGAAATAAAATCTATCTACGTGACTTTACCGAAAGACCCAAAGAATATGAATTCCTGCTTTCACGAAAGCTTTAAGTCAAGTGAATAACAAGCCTACATCTAAGCGCGAACTACAAAGCGGAGTGTACTCCTACAGCACTATGCCTCGTGAATAATAGCGACGAGTAATGAATGCAGGGACCCGAGTGGAGATAAACTCACTCGGGGACCACGGGGTCCATCTTTTCCTTGGTCGCCCCTCTCACCCGCCAAGCCCTGGCACAAAAAAACACATCATCAGCAGCAGCAGCACCGTTATCCTCATCGTCAGCAGCAGCAACAGCAGAATAACGTCATCCTCCTCATCATGAAATATCGCCGTGAAATTTCACCGTAAAAAAAAAAGTTGCTGAAAGAGATAGTTTAGCGATACTTACTGGGGGCCCTGGCCTTCCAAGAGGCTACACGCGCACACGTGCGCATACACAAGCAAAATCACACACACACACACACGTGTACACACATACACATCAATGTGCAAAAACACACGCGCGCAAAAAACAAAGTTAGTCTGGATAACATCAATTAAACTCAACATAAAGGCCTGTCAACATTTTCTCCGTCACGGTACTATACAATTGTCACAATTCAAGTTCATGCAGAATTTGTACCGGGCGCAACATTTACGTCTATGTCTAAGTTGCATCTCTTTGTCTAAGTTTTACGTGTACGTACAATGACACACGCAAAAAGAACCCCACAGAAATCGATGCGCATATCGTACATCGCGAGCGTCGGAATTTTTTTTATTTTTAACCGGTGCCAATTTTAACGCCCAGAGAAACAACCACACACCACACACACACACCGCATAGCTGCGGTAAGAATTGAACCGTCAACTCCATACACACTGAACCAGCCACGAAGTGTGCTGACCACTAGGCCACGAGGGACGGGGGGGGGGGGTTCAGCGCCTTCCCCCCCACCCCCCCACCCCCCAGAAAGGTGAGAGATTGAGAATAACGACGGTCACAAACCGGAGCCCCTGGGGGAGCAGACGGTCCTGGAGGCCCAGCTCTCCCAACGTCGCCCTGAACACAACGACGCGACACAATGACACACAATGACCGCGAGCCGCGCGTTATGCACCTGTGCGTTGCGCGCCGGATCGCTTGCGCAACACAAAACTCTCCCTTATCTCCCTCTCTCTCCCTCATCTTCTGCTTGTTCGGGACGTTGGTTGGTGTGGTTGAAGCCATCCGACGAAGGGAACGTGAAGACCACGCGATTCATAAAGTTCCGCGTGCTGCGTGCGTGCCCAACGCAGGTTATGGGATGCGTTCATATTGGCCATGTCACGTGCTTGTGATTTTAACACAGTTGACAAGGGGGGTTTCATAAAATCCACTTCCCCTGCTTGTGATACAACATTATGAACCTCTTTGAAATGTGTGTATCATATAGTTTTACACGTGCGGATAGTTTTTACGTGTGCGTATCATATATTTGAAGTGTGTATCGTATAGTTTGAAAGTGTGAGTCGTCTAGTTTGGATGGGCTCGCAACGGCGACGTCTAAATTTTTGATATAACCACGGCGGCACTGGCGGAGCCAGTGGGGGGGTGGGGGGGCCCGGGCCCCCCCCCCCCCCCCCCCACAATGATCCGATCGAAATCCCTAATTTTTATCGGATCATTGGGGTTTATTAGCAATAAATCGGCATTTTGCGACCCCCACTGCCACTGTGTAGCATATTATTACGTGCCAGGGACTCTATGAGATGATAGGACAATAGTCTGAGTCAATAATTGCCAATAAGTAACGGCAAAGCGGTTATAAGTGACTCAGAATTGTGCGCAGTTGCGTATACAGAGTTCACGACTTCCCTGAAGTCATTCACCTTCAGCGAGCGCGATGCCGATCACACAACGCGGTTCCAATTCGACCCTCGATCGATGGCTGCGCCATCGCCGCACACGCATCGAATAAAAAGCAAGGGACAAGTCCTTACTAACAACTCCTTACTCACTAACAAGTCCTTACTTATTACTAACAACTCCTCTATCATTTTTTCATTGCTGGAGGGGTTGCCCCCTCTACCTGAAAATCCTGGCTCCGCCATTGCACAGCGGTGTGGGGTTCGTGATCGACATGTCCTCTGCACGTGACACCAAGGAATGTCGTTCATAATGGCCGTGCGCTACATCCGTGAGTTACACGCAGCTGAGATGGGCTCATAGTGGCCACGTCGTCCGTCTGTGTTTCTCACAAAGTGGAGGCGTGTTCATAATGGCCGGGTGCATCTGGTGCATCCATAGCAGGTGGCCTCCACTCACCCGGACACCCTGAGGCCCCACTGGGCCAGGAGCCCCATCAGGACCGGCCAAGCCCTGGGGAGAACATTGGAGATATGACAAGGGACCACATGACATCAACAAAACATCACGCAACATCACAAAATAATACAAGCCATGAGGATAACATTGTAGATATGACTGACCCGGCATCAATATGACATCACCACGACATCACGCAACATCACACACAAATACAAGCCCTGAGGAGAACATTGGAGATGTGACTGACGCGACATCACATGACATCAACACAACATCATACACAACATTTCCTGCAACTCTGATTAGAACGGTTGGCAATGTACGATACACGCCATCACACAAATACAAGCCTGGAGGAAAATAGGAGAAACACTGAAAACATGACATCACACAACATTACATATTACATAGCATGACAAAGACATAGATCCCTCTCATAGCCTTAACAGACTGTGGGGGCAAGTGCTGTTAGTGAGCACCTATGAAGGCCAGCATGGCACACGCGTGGGTGGGTGGCCAGCACCACTACCGGCACACCTTTGTCTCCCTCGTGACAATCTTCATAGACGTGCCAGCTACTCATTTGACCTAGTGTCGACACAGCATAACAAACACAGAAACACAAGCCCCGAGACAACAGGAGGGACAACACGGCCCTTTAACACAACATCACAGAGACACAAACTCAAGCAATGACCGAATCACAGGCACAACCGGGAATCGAAGTCAGGGACACCGGGTTCCATAGGGCATTCCGCTATCCCGCTTGCGACACACGCTCCACCTCGCATTAAACCAAAAGCAAGTCGAAGCAACATTTGAATGAAGCTGTGGAGTCTAGGCCCACAGGCAAACAAAAAGACAAACGGCGTCTGTGACCCGCGCTGCATCGTTCGCAAACAAGCGCGACGTGGATTCTCCCAAATGCTGCCCACGCGGGCCCTTGGAGGGAGGCTTTTACTGAGACGGTGGGGGTGGGGGGTGCCCTGCGTTGTGAGATGGGCGTGAAATATCAGTTCTCCTTGCGAGGGTGACCCCAGGGGCAGCTGCCAGGAGGTCGAGAGGCGGAGGGGCAAGGATAACCGGAGGTGTTTTTGGTGCTTTTCAACTGATGTTCAAAACGTTGAGAAATTAGCTCCGTCTGTCCGTCCATCCGTCCGTAACAGGGGGGGGGGGGGGGTGTGGGGGGGGTGTGTGTGTTTGTGTGTGTCCCACCCTCTGGTAAAGATGATCCAATAAAAATAAAAACATTCGTATAAAATTGTGTCGTTGTTAGGGACTTGTCCCATTGAATGCCAGCCAACGTTGATCGAAGGGCGGCCATCAACTTGCAAAAGAAAACCGGCGCTAAAAGGATTCACAACCAACTGGGCATGAGCGGGAACTGCCACGCCTTGCCTCGCCCTCCCGATGACGCCATCACGCGAGGTCGTGACCTCGCGACGTCCAGCTCACGTTGTGCCGCTTGAATTGTTGCATCATTTTTGCTTCCGAAATACTTCCGTGGACAAACTCGTGTGGGAAGGCCATTACGGAAGCGATGCCATATGTATGATTGTTTCTCCTTGCTGAAAATAGAGGCCCTCTTTTTGAACCCAACTGCTTGAAGGGAGTCCTAAACCAATTGAATACGGCCCGCAGCTTATCGAGTCTCATGGAATCTCATGGCGCGTTAAGAAAACTCGCACAACGGGGCTGTAAACGGGGCTTAATTTCAGCTGTCTCCGTCCGGGTTGGCGACCATGAAACTCTTAATGCATGCGGCACACCACATCCAGTATACATCTCGCTAACCGGACTGTGGCTACTGGTCATGTTCCTACTCAAGTCTACCAGTGATCTGGAATATATTCAGACAAATCTTCCCTTGGCTATAACAGTTGGTGGTCTACTAGCAATCTCCTACAGTTAGGGTTCACGTTACAGTAAGAGTTCGATTTTTGTAAAGTTTTTTTAACGAGTCAATGGAAAAGGAACTGGTCAAGAATCCCAATGCGGGACTGCCCTGAAGAAGAGCCTTGAGACTCTGCAGTTGCCCTGGATAACTGATATTAGTATTTGGTATTATCTGATAAACGAATAATGAGAAACTATCTCAATCTCAGAGGCTAAGCAGGGCTTAATAGAGCTCGGACGGCCAACCGCCGTGTATAAAACAGGTGTTATAGGCTGCCAGCAGAGATACGCTATGGGCAGCAGAGGGCAGTGCAGACATACCGTACTCCTTCGCATCACATCTGTTCTCCACCTTCACTCACCCGCATTGACCAGCAAGGCGAAGTATGGTCTAAACAACCCCTACAGCCGGCACGGCGTGGGGAGGCCCTCATCCGACAGTGGATTGACACAGTGCTGTACATCTCCGTTCGTATTATTATTATTACTACTACCACACGAATATGCGTTGATTTTGAACAGCCCAGTGTTTATTTTTGAAAAGACCACTCAAAAATGGCGGTCACTTACGTCAATGCCAGGTAGGCCGGGTGGGCCCTGAGGTCCCCTTGGCCCCGGCTGTCCAAACTCGCCTTTGGCACCCTGCAAACGCCGACCCAAAAGTGAAACGACAACGACGACAGCGATGAAGGGACGTGGGCTTGTGGAGCGTCTCAAAGTGACGGCATCTCAAGGCGCTGTAGAGAAACACGGAGGCAACACACACACGTGCGCGCGCGCCTCTCCCTGAGAAACAAAACAAGTTGAGCAAGCAACGCACCGACGTTTCAAATGCAAAATGGTTGTTGGGATGGGTCGGTGCTGTGGCTGGCAACTCGATGGAACGTCCCCAATTTGATTTGTATACGACGCCCACAACCCTCCGCACCTCCGATTAGCACTGCTGGCTATGTAAGGTGCCAAAGAAGTTAAGCATACAGTACATACATACGTGCCACTGTGGGGGAGTACGTAAACGTTGAACTTCTTTCGCGCCGACCGTAGCCAACCGTGCTAATCGGAGGTGTGGGGGAAGGACAACAAAACTAAAACGCAAAAAGCAGATCTAAAGAAATGAGTTTTCAATTTAGATGTAAAATGCATAGCTCCAGTGGCTTCCTAATATCGGAAGGAAGAGTGTTCCAGACGGCCGCAGAAGCGCATCTGAAAACGCGCGATGCGGTGAATAATGGGCAACATTCATGAATAAAGAGAAGGAAAAAAAACGTCTGTGAACATTATTAGGCTATGAACTGAATAACAATGGAATGTTAATTCGGCAAGGTTGGGAAATGACACTCTGTTCTAAATATCCGTGGGGGGTCACCGTCCAGTGCTCAAGGCTCACGCTTCGCTGAGACTGAGCCAGAGGTGACCTTCATGGGAGAGGACCATAGCTGGGATCAGACTGAGTCGGGTTTATGCCGATTAACAAGGGCTATACAACTCTGTACATTAGAAGTGTAACGATTCAGCCCCCCCCCCGCCCGCCCCACCACCTCCCTTCCCCTTGCGATTCAATGAATTGTGGTGGATTCGATCCGAGAACGAGGATCCACATTGCATCATTGTGGTGAATGGAGCAGCATCACATGACCGGAGAGAGAGGTCGTGTGAACCAATTACATACAACGTCAATGAATTGAAGACTTGAATTGAAGCACACCATTGGAAATTTAGCAGGAAAAACGCCGCGTTTGTCAGTACTGCAGAAGCATCATTGACAACATATTCGTCAGTAACGCGACCCTAAGAGGACAAATGATGTAACCGGTGAATGTTGTGCGGGCATTGCAGAAATACTGCCCAAAACATTGCCTGTCATAAAATGTTGAAATAACATATTTTTTTCCTCTTTAGGGAAGTGTTATTGACGAATGGGTTGAGTATTTCACGACAGTCAAAGGACAGGAGACCCTGGTGAGTTTCTGGGAAGTCCAGTGGAAAGTCAAGAGGCTCTGGCCAGGTGGTCAAGGAGGGCATCCCTTGGTTTTTGGCAGAGATGCCCAGGACTACGCAAGATTTAATTCTGAAATTATGAAAGCACACGGCCCTACGTGAGTGCTTGTGAAGAGGTCAGCAAATTACTCAATCTTGTCAGATCTCAGCAGCTATGCAGGCTTAAGGGTTGATCTCGCTTGGAATGAGCGGTCACCATACACAATCACGCTGTCGCAATTGGGCTGCGGGGCGACGTTGTGGGCAGCAGAGAGCAGTACGGCAAAAGGCACTGCTGTGCTGTACTTCTAAGCTTCCACATCCTCGTGTTTCACCAACCGGCACTGACCAGTATGATCAAGTATGGTCAAATAACCTCTATTGGTCCTCGTGGCATGGGGAGGCCTTCATCCAGCCTTGGATTGACACAAAGGGCGGCACATGAATCATTTGGCGGGACCCCGGGGTCCCGCAAAAATCAGGTCAATAATTATTATTTTTCAGTCCGCCCACTCGTGATCCCGACAGCAACGCGCCGCCCGCCCAGACTCGCGCCAACAAGCGCCAGCAGGCGGCGATCGACACGATGGGCGCCACCCCACCGGCCAAACGCAAGCCGGGGCGTCCGCCGCAGTCGCGCGCGGCGACAACGCCCTCCGGTCAGCCGTCGATCCTCAGCTTCTTTGCCAAGGCGAGCCCGCCACCCGCAGTGAATTTGACGTGTTTACGTAACTTTTCAACTTTTTACGAAACTTAGTGCCCCGAGTAGCTCTCGACGAGGCCAATCGATTGACACTAGTTTTGTTGTCGGTAAGGCAAGACTCGTGTTGCTACGCGGTTTTTCCCACCCCGGGGCAGTGATGGGACCCCGGGGTCCCGCCAATTGCTTCACATGTGCATAAAGAAGCCAGGCGATAAAACTATGGTTATGACCGAATTAAAATCTCACCTTTCTTCCTTGTGGTCCTACCGGTCCTCTCTCACCCTGCACATAGACGGACGAACACAAACACACACACACACGCCACAGGGGTGAGTGCACTTTGCGAATGCCAAATAAAGCTTGCAACACAAAGCGTGTTGCGGCCATGGTGTGGCGAGCACCATGCATTTCTGACGTTGACCGAATACACAACTGATCTGGGGTATTCTCTTCATGCCGATGACACGTAGGGTGTAACGGTGAGCACACGGGACTTGCAATCGATTCGATCTCCCGGTGCGGCGGTTGAAATAAAGAGCAAGTTTCTTAAATCCCCCCCGCCCACATTAATCCAGCAGTATAATGGGATACACCATTTAGTCGATCGGCAGGGCTCATGTGGTGGGGCAAACTGTGGGTCCTCCCACCTCTTCTATGATGTCTGGCCAGCGTGGAAGAGTCGGCCAAAGATACCCTCAAGAGAGGCTCTCCAGAGCTCTCTCTAGTGAAGGGCCTTCCACCAGCTATGGAATATGCAAGTGATTGCGAAGCTGTGCTTTTTACCTTTTGCCACATTGAGGAGGCCCGCACCCGGTTTATTCACCATGTGCTCATTGGTTAACGTGGGACAAAAGGTAATATGCGGTGCGGGGGAGACGACAGTCTGACTCACGTCCACTCCATCGGTTCCAGGAATCCCCGGCGGTCCTTGTGGTCCAGGAATTGTCTGCACCGCACACACGCATACACGCACGCATACGCGGCGTTAGGCTGAGTCGACGTATGGGAGGCCCATGACAGGCATGGATAATGACTGCTACTGGTGCACGTGGTGAGGAATTCATTTGTTTATGTAACTTCAACATATTCACACGGATTAATTCCAGCATATTTCACATGGATTAATTCCAAAAACATTCACGCTGATAAGTTCCAATAAAATTTCACACGGATTATTTCCAACAAATTTCACACGGGATTAATTCCAGAAAATTCCACGCGAAATATTTCCAGCAAATTTAACAGATTTTTTTTCCCAGAAAATTCCACACGGATTAATTCCAGCAAATTTCACGGATTTTGCTTTCCCAGAAAATTCACACGGATTATTTCCAGCAAATTTCACAAAAAAAATTCCCCAGAACATTCACACGGATTAATTCCAGAAAATTTCAAACAGATTCATTCCAGCAAATTCACACTAATTAATTCCAGCTGGGTGTGTCCAGGTCGGCAAACGGTGATATACAATCACACCCGGCACACCTCACCCATTGTCTCTCTATGGCCGTGGCCACTGAGTCATGTGCCACTTACTCCATCCAGTCTACCGGTGAACAGAAACATTCAGCGAGAAAATTATACCATGTCAGGATATGCATTATAACACTTGATATATTGAAATAATAGTTTTTTCCATTCTGATTGTAAATCGAGAACTAAAAGTTACACAATATTTATCAACATGTCATAAATCTTTGATTTAAAGCTTTCGTGACTGCATGGACTCATATTCTTGGTTCTTTCGGTAAAGTCACATAGAAGTTTATTGTTTATTGTTTCCCTTCTACGTGACTTTACCGAAAGAACCAAGAATAATAAAATACCAGTTAATGATATCATTGCCCAAGTAGACGTGGCTCTCAAGGGCCTGGGTCACATCGCTGCAGACATAGCAAGATCTGAAATCGCTGCAACCCTCAAAAACGCTAAGATGCCAGCTAGCAACCTCAGCAAAGATGAGCGTTTTGAATTATATGAATTAAAAAAGAGGGATGACATTGTCATCCTCTCAGCCGACAAGGGCAATGCCACTGTCATCATGGATAAAATAGAATATAACAACAAAATTCAAGAATTACTCAACGATGGCAGCTATACAAAAATAAAAAGAGATCCCACCAACAGCCTCGTCATACAAACCAACAAAATCACTTCTGATTCAACCGCATTAATTGATCAAACCAAACAGTTTTCGTTGAAACCTTCTACTGCCAGGCCACCAAGATTATACGGCTTACCAAAAATACATAAAGTTGATACACCCTTTTGTCCCATCGTCTCTACTATCAACTCCCCCACTTACAAACTGGCTCGTTTTCTGTCTGAAATCCTGTGGCCTTTCACTGGAAAAACTACCTCTGCGGTACAAAATTCTACTCGCCTGGTATCGACAATCAAGGGTATTTCCCTGTCCCCAGACGACCTGCTTGTCAGTTTTGATGTAGTTTCCTTATTCACCAAAGTTCCTGTACCTGACACCATCGCAATCCTTGAAGACTTGGTTCATCAATGACTAAACACTGAGGTACCCCCCCTGGTGAGACACTGCTTAACCAATACATACTTCACTTGGAATGGAACTTTCTACAAACAAACTGAGGGCGCCCCAATGGGCTCCCCCTTATCTCCGGTTGTAGCCAATATTTTCATGGAGAAATTTGAGACTGACGCCATCCAGACTGCCACTCTGCGCCCAACCTTATGGAAGAGGTACGTGGATGACACTTTTGTCATCTGGCCACATGGCCGGCCTGCTCTAGAACAATTCCTCGACCACATCAATTCCATACACCCAGCCATCAGATTTACCATCGAAGTCGAAAAAGATGGCAAGCTACCTTTTTTGGATGTCCTAATAAAAAAGAGACCTGATGGTTCAATGAGCCACTCTGTCTACAGGAAAGCTACCCATACGGATGCTTACCTGAAACCGGATTCCCACCACCATCCATCCCAGAAGAATTCCCTCATCAAGACTCTGCACCATAGAACCCAATGCATATCCGACCAGGAACACATCGCCAGTGAACTCAAGCACGTACACCAAGCTCTTAAGGCTAATGGTTACTCCGACTACACAATCCGCAAAGCTATCACTCCAACCATGAAGAAGGACCCTCTTGAGGAGCCTTTCAAAACCATCACTTGACTCTACATTGCGGGGATCACAAAAAAGATCTCCAAAATCTTGAATAAACACAAGATCCAGGTCAGATTCAACACATTACATAAAATCCGTGATCTGGTTCCATCTGTAAAAGATGTGATTCCGGACATACAGTACCTGGCGTCTACAAATTAAGTTGCCTCTGTGGTAGTAGTTACATTGGAGAAATCAAACGACATGTCTCGGACCGTATTCGTGAACACAAAGCAGACCTAAAACACGGTAGGATCAACACCTCGGCCGTGGCAGATCACTGTTATAATTCAGTAGGCTCACATGACATTGACTTCTCCAAGACATAGGTTCTTTGCAAGCCATCTGGCTATCATGAGAGATTCGTTCATGAGGCTATCCACATATACAAACAAAGAGACAATTTCAACCGAGAAGATGGATTCTTGCTTAGCAATCATTGGAAGGATTTGATAAACCATTTCGGGTCTTAATTGATTGTTCACGCTTACGGTGGTTTTCAGACCGCATCGTCTCCCCCCTCCTCTTTTCCGAACATAGATGGACTCGTCCATCTGAACAAACTGTCAAATCGCTCTCCGTGATGCTAACGTTAAAAATAACTGCCACTTTTTTCAAATTTTCTTGCTGTGGTTTTCACACCTGATGATGATTGCTTGTGTTGCAGTCGAAACGTCGTGAGAATTTTATTGTTTTATATTTTTATTATTTTATTGTTTCCCTTCTACGTAACTTTACCGAAAGAACCAAGAATATGTCATAAACCAGCAAAAAGTAAAAATTCCCCTCTCGGAAAATAAAAAAAAATGTTGGCAAGGGGGCGCGACCTGACCTGAAGAGTGGACAAAAATGTTTAATGGCGTTGTGATTGTTTTAGATTGTTTGTACGAGACATCTATTAACTGAATGACAAAAAAATGTTAATACGAGGGTGTGATGTGCCCATCAACCATCGTGAATCAATCCCAAAAACACAAAGAGTAATGTCTATATACATCATTAACGCTGTCGGACACTAAAACCAGAACAAAAACTAGGGATGCCATGCACGAAGCCATCCATGGCTTGTCATCGTGTTCTTATCTTCAGCCTGTCACAACTATCCCATTTCTGAGCAAAGGCCTCTCCCAGTTTCTTAAATCCCCTTCTTTCCCCCATTTGCCCCCGTCGAGTCACGGCCTCCGAACCCTGTGATGTCATCTCCCTGCTGCTGCCGTCTCTCGCCATCTCTCCTCTGATTCTCTTCCCTTCTCTCGGCCTTCACTCCATCGCTGATTGTGTCTCCCATCTCTCGTCAGTTGTTCCCATGACGTGTCCTGCCCCGTTTCCCGTGGCATTTTATTTGCTTTAACAAAAGCAGCAGCAGCATCATTGTAAGCCCGTTGTTATTTTACTCGCAGAGTCAATACTGAAGTTCCACAACATTTCGGAGAACAGAAATTAAAAAAATAACCTCAACTTGGTAAAAATAAAAATGCACGTAAGGTGAAGGCTTTGAATTATTTTGGACCAGCATTTCTATAGAGCTCACATTGCCCTCAGGCAACAAAAAAAAAATTCGAGGAAGCCCTGTGAATTTTTTGTGAAAAGCTACATGGGATGAGACAGATCCATTCTGGTAGGTGGCGGAGTCTCCCCAAAGGGCTGTGATTGGCCGATTGAGAGAGGTGGTGTCGTGTGGCTGGTGATTGGTGGATATCTTGGCGAGTCGGCGGAGGGACGATGGTGGAGTATAATGACTGATATAAGAATTGATTAGCACGGTTGGCTAAGTACGGTGCGAAAGAAATTCAACATGTATACACCACGGAACCAGACAAGAGACCCTCACGTAGCTAACTCTCTTTGCAAGAGGCATAGATATGCATATGATTATAATTGATTATCACACACAAGATACATCAGATCACATGTACGTGAATCAATTGTGTCTAGTTTATGGCCATTTAGATATGTGAATGGTACATTTGGGCAAATGAAGCCAACACAACGCCACAAATGAGACAAAAATAGAAACAAGACAACCGAACCCATGAAAAATGTTGACAAAATAATCGATTTCTTGATTGAAATCGCAATCTTAAAATGGCAAAGATTCACTGAATCACTGTGTGTGGGGAGAGGATGGTGAATTGTTAAGTGTGGCCTCGTGATGTCAGTGCCCTACTACATCATTTCACAGTTCAATTTCTGCTCTAGCTGTCTGGTAATCGCTCCAGGGAATTTCCCAAGCGTGACAACCACTGATGACGAAGGCCCCGATGCATTGCAACTGTGATGGGTGGTATAGCTCCACAAATATACACAATCTTCATCATCATCATCAGCCGTGGTTAAATCCACTTCTAGATGAAGGCCTCTACCTGTCATCGCCAAGCTACATGGTCTTGTGATGCCACGCTACATCTCCAATGTTGTCAATCCTCCTTTAGCTGCTATATTTGTATAAACCTAAACCATCAGCCACCCATCCCTTCCAGCCCTAATTGTGTTCTGCCCAAGCCCGTTTATCTTAAGTCCATAATATTTCTCCAACATGTGAATGTTCTCTAAACCCACGCGTTACTTTCTCCACCCTGTCAGCATAATTCCAAGCGTGAATCTCTCCACACTTCTTTGCGCAATTTTGAGCTTTTCTTAAATTTTCTCCCAAGTTTCTGATCCAAAAAAATTGAAATAAGTTCTAATCATTGCCAGCTCATAGACGTCTATGTTCAGTCAAATTAATCTACATATCTATTGAAAGTAAAGTGCTTTATTTTGTTCTGGAAGGCCTCAGAGGCGCACAATTCTTCAAGAGGCCC